CATGAAGGAACACGAAGCAATCTAATTGCAAACGGGTTTAAGATCTTGCCGTACAGCAACACGAATTCTCATGATGTGGATAGGGACTAAATGGAATGAGAGCAATCATCAATGCAGATAACTGTAAGTGCAAGGATTATGCGAATTCAAACGATGTCCACATACCTTGGTCAACGAAACCATGAACGCCTGTTAGATACAACACACGATGGGAGTGGAAACGAAATATGCACGGAACATGATAGGCTTGTATGGGCTACTGGTCGGGGAAAATTCTGTTCCTTAGGGGAAGCAGTCATCTGAATCAAGAGAGCAGAAGGACAAAACCTAACACCCGGGCGAATCAACAGATCCACTACTGATTTGAATAGGGCATGGGATAGTGATTTTTTTGTGTTTTTATCACACACCTTGATGTATTGAGGAAGGGCACATAGTTCAATTACGGGAACCAAAACCCTAAGAATCTGACCGGTCACATAAGTAGGCATGGTATTGAGTCGGACAAAGAAGGTAACTACCACTAAAACTGTGTGGCGAAGGCAGATTGGGCTTTGGACTTCATAACCCTGGTCATTACTGTCAGCGACTGCCGTTTACATTGCCTGACAAGCATCATCTATACGATAGGATAAAAATACTCGTCATCCGATGTAATATGCCATATCTTTTCCAACGGTACACTGCTGGCAACTTGTAGAATGGTTTCGTAGAAATCATTAGAGAGGATGTGTGGTTTGGTGCATTCCGTTCATAAAGCCATCCAAGTTCGAATGGTGGTTAGAACTCCTTGGCATAGGATTCGCAACCGCCATCAGACATGTGAAACACAATTTACAAAATTTTGTCTCTGTCTCGTGAAGAAGAAAACAACGGTACAATGACTGATTGCCTGAAGTGATTGGCAACAAATGAATACTGTCTAAGGTGCTATCGCCATGTGATTGGAATCCAGTCCATTGCTAGTGTATGTTCGTTACGCACAATGACGTAAAACCCTAGAACATCGAAGATAAACATTATTATCATCTGATCAAGATCTATGGTCTAAACCATCAATTTCGGAATACTGGGAAGAATAACTTTTCACAAAAACAATGAAAAACGCTAATGGAAATGAAACATACGAACATTAATTGTCGGGACTGAATTCCGGTGCCGAATTTTCGGTTCTAACTGAATAGGAATGCTATTACGAACATCACAACTCATTTCCTTGTGATAAAACAGCACGATGTGGTTTTGTGCGTCATAGCCGGAGCCTGTCCCTTAACGTTTGTTCACAGTGCGACCGAATAAGAAAAAGGCTGACCGATAGGGAGGAACAGGAACACTTACAGATAATTGAGACCAATGTTTGGATCTTGGTGGAAGAGCCGTAGAATGTGGGTGTACTGGGAGTGACACAGTTACACTGTTCTCCTTTTGTAGCCCACGATTGGCCTCATTTGGAATTCCATTCACGTGACACTGTGTTTCTAACGAGTCCGCAATTGTTGTTTTTGTTGAATGAATGAATTCGGTTCGTTGGTCTTCTGGTGGAATGTTGTTACCAAGAGGAATCCGAGGCGGAGGTGGTCTCGGCGGAGGAGTGTGTCTTCGAGAGGCGGCAGCACTTTCTGGGACAGACAAAGTGCGATTAAAAACGGGTTCGGGCATTGTTTGATGTGGCGTTTTCTGGCAGGATTCGGTGAACCATTCACTTGTCGTTGCTGAAGAGTCCGCGCTGACACCATAGTGTGAGTGACAAAAAAGATTCACCGTCGTGTTTTAGTCATTCAGGTATGTATAACAGAGGCATTACAAATTCAAAAAAGATAAGCACTCCACACACACGTGGCTTTTATAAATTAATACTTCTCAATGAGTATGTCAGAAAAAGGGTAAGCAGAAAGACCTCGAATAGAATTCAATCCAGCTGACCTGGCTGCTGTCACCAGTGCGACCGTATCGACAGGGGCTGTACGTGGAGGTCGCGCGAGATTAGCACGCACACTTCCTCGACCAATGGACGTGGTTGGTGTGATTTGAGGCGATATAGCTGGTGGATTCGGTCGTGCTGGTGCACGAGGAGGGATTAGTGTGTCCGCGCGATCTCGTGTTCGGTAACTTGCACGGAACGGTTCACTGCTCAAACTGGCCGGTGAGCGATTTTCCGGTGTCAAATATTCCTATATTGGGATCAAGAAGCGATAACGCACGGTTGTGAGACGAACAATACCACTGCTCAGTATTTTGCTGCCCTGGTTCTGTGAAAAGATACAATCAGCCAGGGCTAGCTTAGAAAAAACAACAAATGTACACGTGTCATTAAACACTGAAAAACGAAGTACAAGCAAACAGATAGATAAATAATGCAGAGTACAGGGATTTGTACGGTCAGTGAGCGAATAAGACAAGCGGTAAACAGAGCAGGCCTTGAGCATATGGGCTGAACAAGAAGATTGGAGCAAAATGTCTTTTTGTGACAGATTACAGAAAAAAAGAGTAACATGCTGATGACGATTTCGGCAAGTCTTAATTGTGGTTTAAATAAAACGAAAACTGGAGAGAGAAAAAGAAGTTGTAATAGGAAGGACGACAGTAAAATCAGTTTGCGATCACATAACGCCACAGTAGACGCATGGTGAGAAATTGCAGAGGACACTAGCGCAGTGGGCCAAATTTCACAGTCACGGTGACTTATTCTTATCAAACTAGCTTTGCTACTTTCCTCTATGCGATGGATCATAAATCAAATTGTGAATGAGTCCGTAAGGAATATTGGGAATATAAACCAAAGTGGGATCCGCCATTACCAGTGGATCTTTCGATTTGGGAACGGACCTCTGAACGTTGTGAAGTCAAGTGCTGATTGTTAGACAACTGAATAAAGATGTGGAATGTACTGAGTAAGGTGGTAAAAACTGGAAGAGGTTGACGGTTAGAACGAGAATAGATTGGTTATCGATTTTCAAGGAAAACGAACAAATAATTCATAGGAGTAAAATAATATTGAACTGAATAGACAAAACAGATAGTATTCTAGCGTGATTTCAACAAATACACATACCCCCCGGCTCCTACTACTGCTACCACGATGAAAACTATTTGAACAACCTTTGTCGATTACAGAAATGATTCTACAGCGTCATTGACCTGGAACTTTGATGACGTTATGATTGTCGCTCTTGTCATGTGATTTAGGGCTTGACGCATTCATCCGAACATACACGGATCTGACGGTCAGACGGTTTTTGTTCTTCCTCTCACTCTGGGCGATCCGGAAACGTAACACTACGGGTGTGCATAAGTCTGATATTTTTATTTGAGCCACAGAACAGCCTCCGGATGACGGAAATACATTTCTTTTCGAACAATCAAGCAAAGAGAAACGGTGAAGATGAACACAAAGCTCAATGGTGTCCATTGCATCAATCATTAGAATGACAATTTGTGATATGATCTAATAGATAATACAGCTCAACGAGCCTGTTTCTATTTCTAACTAACTGAGATAGGGGTTCGGTAGTCATATGACTCAGACGATTCTGGAATAGCTGTTTCTTTTCATGCCTTTGCAAACGCGTCTATTCTCATCCGTCCAATTACGACCATCCTTGATCTCAAGGTACGTGAAGCTGACCATGGTTGTTTTCAGTGCAGTTTTGCCACAAGCAGTCGTTCCTAGAACACACATGAACACGGGATAGGAAGAAAGCCCCCTCAAAGCCGAACAGTGCCCTAAATTTGAACATTCTACAGTTGGCATGGGACACGTCATACATGAAAAGGTTTACAGTTATCAGTGCGATAGAAAAACTGAATCACGGTTAGGAGAGAGTGGACATGATTACACGAACAGATAGGATTATGCGGTTTGGGTTATAGGTGTGTGTGTAAACGAAAAGAGATGGACGCTGATGATCGGTCTGGATAAGCTTACTTCTATGAACGAGGAATCCGACAACGTCTGAATGAAAACAGTCACAAAGAGAATCAAAAACTGCGGTAGAATTATGGAACACCAACCACCGGTCTGCACGGTTACCCGCAACAATGCCCATCACAAGTAGACTGCTGGTTAATTAGCATGCAACATCATTCTACGGCATTCTGCCCACATTTACCCGCTGAATAAGGATAAGAATAATTGTCCCATGGAACCATGCACAACTGCTGACAGAAAAAAATGCAACTCTCCCAACTGCTATAAGCTGTGCGCTACTTTCTTACCACACGGGTTATATATTTTCTGTCTCCGTCGGCACACTGGAACATTCCCCCGAGTTCATTAATCCATATCTCGACTCATACAGCTGACGGCAAATGCGTTTAGTCTATTAATTTCGGTACATATCACTTAAGAAATACCCCTGGACCAACGTACATAGATTGTTACTCACAAAGTAGTCTGTTCCTCAGGAACAGGACAAGTATGTTTCTTAGAAGCGCACCACACAAATCCAAACAGGAAAACAAATCACAGCCACTTAAACCAATCAAACTGTCCGACTGACCAAAACGAGGTCTTGTATGCGCCAATCACAAAACATGAATGCAGTACAACAAACAGTCTTATCAGAAAGACTATCCTGAGATCATCTGCATTCAGTATCTGATCTCTGAGCTGTGTCTGGGAACACTTAATCCAAGCTCTTCACACACCCCCAGGTTCATTAGCCTACTAGTATCTCCAAAACACAATGATCCATTCCAAATAGTCTGATGTGTATCTCTCAACCCTCTAGGTTTCATACTCCTAGATAAATAGGACCGACATGATTTTGAAGCACGGAAACCAATTTTTCCCCTGAAATTCTGTCCCGATGTGAGTATGAATGCATTCCAAACGTTAAAGTAATAGCGGAATATGGAGAGGGACAGAACGTTGTTAAGACAGAGGACAGGGGTTGAGGTAGACGTGAGTTTCCGAATGAACCAAGCGAACTTGCAGGTACGAGAAACTGATCAATGGTTGAATAGAAAAGCGAATAACGATCCAGGTCGAAGAGGAATTGTTAACAAACCGTCTGCATGGCTGTTTATTGACTTGAATGATTTACATTCTTGTGAACATTGCAACACTTTTGATTTGAAGTAGAGAAAAGTTATCGCACTTATATCCATAGTATTGGCATCAGCATAGTTGTGAGTGAAAAGATTACCTATATAATATGGAGGTAATGATTTCCTAGATCCGGGAATTAGTTCAGTTAGTACCGACGAGGACAAGAAAACGTTCAAATCGTGATTATGACTGAGGCCGAATCTACCGGGTCCACGGAATTAATAAAGGTGAATAAATCAGGCTAGTCCTGGGAGACCTTGTCTTCTTCGGAATGATCAGTTCCATTCACTCAGTAGCCAAGGAGTCGGACACAACTCAGAGTTTCACTCTACTGAAAGCGAAAATGACATGTTGACGGAATGTAACATCATTCATATATCTACCATAGCAACAATTTTGGAGAATCGAAGAAATTCCTCGCTAGATGGTACAGTTGAAGGATTTCCTTGAAGTGTGTGGCGATCAGGATGCACAAGGATCATCTATCACAGACAATACATACTTATTCCTTGAGACGTGCTGTAACGCAGTGCAAAGTTGGTGAAGTGAACCTTTGGACAGAGACACTTAAGACCCTGATGCAGCTGGAACACATCCGTGTGGGATGGATGTGACAATGTGATGACGGGAAAAAGCCGGGGGGGGTGGGGGGTGGAGGCAGATTATCACTACAAGTGTCAGTAAGCTAAGACGAGGAAAATGGGATTTTCGAAGAGGAAGAAAAAAATCTAATAAACATTGCGATATCCAACTGCATAAAAGGACAAGCCTTTGTACTGGCTTTCCTAAATTCATTTTATGAGTGAAATACAGCAGAACTGGCAGTACTTACCCTTGAACGGGAAGCATGACGCAAAGTGTTAGCCTGGGAGCGAAGCTGCAATCAAGCAAAGAGAACATGTGTCACTTCTCATACGATAAGTTCAGTTCCACGGTTCGAAAACAAGTAACAAATGAAGCACCCTCAGATCGGGTCTCACTCCGACAGCAACTGACACAGGGTGGCACTTTGGAACCAAACAGGTGTGACTGGATATGTGTATTTCCAGTGTGGCATAACCGAACAGAAATCATTTGAAAAAATATAGGCTAAGCAACAATGACTACGCTGTAGCTGTGGTCGATGTGTACAGAAAAANCAAGCTAATTTATGGTTTATGAGCAGGCCATGGGACAGATCAAAAACTGATTGAAGCAATAATTATTCCTTCAGTGTGTTCAATCAGATTACAGTGTTTATGACCAATACACACTTCATAAAATCTATATAGATGTGATGGAAATAACTCTGGCGTATACGCGCAATTAAATTGAAAAACGAGGTAAGCGTAAGATGTGGAAACGTCACAATTTCACTTTGATGTAAACTACATTTATACGCTGTTTCATGAAACGTACTCGTTGTGTCCAATTATACGAAGTCAACGAATTCTTGCTGCCAGAGATATGTTTTGTGTGACCGGATAAACCGTCCCAGCTGTACGGTTCACCAGGGTGTTTAACCTTCTTCGAACGAAGCCACTGTACACTGCCGAAATTAACCAAAAGATATTGTGCAACTGATCTCGGACGCGGAGGCGGCTGCCTGAAGTACGGTGCGGAATGTGATGACCCGTTTACCGTGGCCGCAATGGGGACAGCGGTATTTCGAAAGCGAGCGTTCTCGCTGGTTGATTTGTTGGACCGTTGAGGTTTTGCACTGGCTCGTAAAGTCGCGGCCACAGCTTCAAACAAATCGATATTCGGGTCTGGTGACTGACGAGCGCGATTATCTAGAAACTGCATAATGCATGGTGGTGGGGGGAGGGGAAGAGAACGTATCTAGGTAATTGATCAATATGCAAATAATCAATGGATAATAATTGAAATGAAGGTGAGTTTCGGGCCAGATTCTGCAGAATTGGAATCCTGAATAAAAAATAGGAGACACGATTATCTACGCATGAAGGTGGGCATCCAAAACAAAGTGTTCAGTTGAAAGAAAAACCCAGTTGTAGGTACATTTCTTCTTTTCCTTTATAGCTACTCTACTCTTGACTGAAATTTGATCAACAGCTAATACAGTTCCCATAAGAACACGATCATACTGGCAGACTTTTAGAAAGAGAAGCGGCCAGTCAAAGAGCTGTTATGTGATACAGATTGATGGAAAGTTAGGCGGTGGTGGTCCCCTTATTCGAGCATATTACCCCAAGGCGAGTCGACGGCAATCCTAAGCGAGTCACCGTCATCGTTCATATGTTCGCAAATTTATGCCCTAAGACAACGTTTAACTGTTTCCAATGCAAATGTTCCTGTTCAACAAATCGTTTGAATATTTCATTTAACCGCTCGTTTCCTTGCCAAATTATGATTGAACGGTGTAAGAAAATTGATCATTCGTGAATTTAAGACTGCAGCAGTTTGCGGTTGAACGGAACAGCAGTGATTTCGGTGCGACGCTCCGTTAAAGGGCGAGTGTAGTGAGCGTTGTATCACGAAACATGTATCATGTATCTCACACAAGTTTCGCATCACTAGCTCCTCTGTACCATCTGGTACGATCCCACGCAAAGACAGGTTTAATAGCTTTTGCGGTATCCCCCACCATCTACTCCGTTCATCTGAGGTGTTTTCAGATCCAGCCCGCAACGAGAGTCGCACAACAGCTGATGACTTTAACGCGATCAGTAGTACTAAAATAAGGTTCGTAAACTTTCCTTTTTATGCTCTCAGGTTTAACGAGCTTGCTGTTTCCGCAAATTTAATTTTCAAATTTGTGGTCACATGCAGTCTCCCTCATTGGCTGTGCTGTCGCCGTATTAAGTTCTAGCTTGAAGGAAAAAGATTGCATATAAATTTCGGGATTCAACAACCATTTTCAATGTAGTGATATGGCCCGGATGATTTCATTCTATGCAAACATATCGATGTATGTGAAAGAAATACTAATAGGATCTTGAACAATGAAGATCATTGATGGCACAACAAACTTCTTAAACCCGTGTCAATGCCCCGTCCCTGCTCCCATTATAAGCTCCTTCCTGTAGGCACCACAACATATGACAACAGCACCCTCCCTAATATTGCCCATTTTTAGTGAATCGGGTACCAATTATTACACGTTTGATGGAAAATTTAGAGTTAGATATTTTTCCACTGTTTTCCGAAAAACTAACTGAAAACTCATCCTTCGAGTGCTTGATTTGACTTTGGACGAAAGTCATCTAGAGACGGAGAGAGAAGCCGTCAATCAAACAATCGAGATAAGCTCCTGACTTTCAACTGTTTCTATCCAGCACAGGTTGTACAAAAACCAGATGATGCTCTGCAACGTGGCATCGTCACAAGATCAGATCCCCATCAGATACAAGGTAGCATCCCAAACTGCCGCTCGTATTGAAATACTGTCCTGGACACCGACCACGTTTTAGTCAGTATAACAATCTCCTTACGTTTTTTTGCAGACTAGGAACCAAACAGCAAAAGGAGCATATCAAGGAAACCACGTCCTTTGCAAAGTAAACCAATTGCGGACTAGCCTCAAAGCTTATCAAACGCTGGATTTCCACGAATTCGCTGTCTGTTGGACTAATTCATCAACTTCATCTGATCATGGATAANCATGGATAAGACAAAGACCACATCAACATGACATCAGAATCGACTGCAAGTAAAAAACTGGGTGGTGATGGTTCAGATGGGGAAAAAGAATGTGATAATGTAAAGAGATATAGGAAACATTTGAAGGGATTAAGAGAGAGACCCGATGTGGTGGAAAAATGCTGAACGTTTTCCAGGTTTTCAGAAAGTTATGAAATACCAGAAGAATCGGAGATGGCTTGACATAAGACTACATCGTCAGTGTATTTGAAGAGCGAAGTAGGAACATTAGCAGATAATTTGCTACTGTACATAGAAAAAAGAATGGGAAAGGACTGCACCTCGGAGTACTCTAAAATCGTTAGCCAATGGTTTGGACTTCCTCCGACTTTGCCTGGTGCTTGAGGTTTCCTAAAGAAGTAATCAGCAAGCCAAACTAATAATTGCCTGAGACAACCGAAGGCTTACAGTTTTCGAAGAAGAAGGGAGAGAGGAATGGAATCAAAAGCAGATGAGTTATCCAGAAAAACAACACAGAGTCATTCAAGGATTTGGTAATGTTATGAACAAGTGAGGAAACTGCATCTAGAAAGCATTTGTTTGGTTTATAGGCAAACTGAGGAGGATCATACGGAAAATCAAATGAGGACCGAATGCACGTAAGGATAACGCGCCAACAAAAGTTAAAACGATAGGACGGAAGCGTTTAGTTAGAATGTTTTGGGAATGAGAACAATGGTTACTGGTTTAAAACAGTCTGATATGGAGCACGTTTTGAAGTGTTAAAAAACTGTTAATAGTTCACCGAGAGTATACGCTCATGTCTCAGAGAGGAGGGTAAAGAACATCGAGACCAACACTTCATGTGGTTTTCATGGTATGCAAAAGCTAAAACGTTTGTTCTTTCGAAACGGCCCCTACTTGAATGGCGTCATCCAGAACAAGTGGCGTGATGGCATCGCTTGATAGGCGGATATATGCTGCGTTAACACTGTCCAAATCCGTTGTACAATCCAGAGTTTTGGCTTTAGTCCTGCACAGTCATTGAGAGCTTGCCAAATGCGCTTATTATTGCTACACTGCAGAAGCTGCGAGGTGTAAGACATAGAGAGACACTTGAATTCAGCTTCGATCGGGTTTGTATAAAGAAGCCTTGTCAAGTCGGAAACGTCGCAAAACTTCGGTAATTTTTAATCATGGTGGTTGTAAGCTGAAAACTGAACTCCACAGTTTATCTTCCAAGATCTGAGAGCAAGAGATCGCATCGGACCAAACAAAGTCACATTTGGTGCAGACCGATGATCGGGGTATTTTTAGGATTCAAAGTAGGTTTCCACTCTTTCGATCAATACATTCTCTGGAAAGACTTGCAAGGAATGGTCTTCCAGTGATGACAATGGTAACCAGCGATTTGTGTTCAAAGTTCGCTGGCTCTGAAATACTTCATGAGACCAAAAACGCCGGTATTGAGAGCGAGATACAGAAGGCACTGGACGCAAACAGTGCCTCGTTGACCCCTTATTATTTTGCTGCACCGTTTATGACGGCTAAGGCTCATACCTCGAAGACTGGAACAACGATTATCTCTGCGCGCCTTGTTTCCAAAAGCTGGTCTAGGGTAAGCGAAAGAAAGCGGAGAATAAATCAGTGCGGCGTCGATAAATGAAGAAGTTCACTGAAAACCTAGCACGTAAGGAAGGTTATGAATTCAGGTTTGGTTATCTGTGAGCCTGTGGCTTAGTGTACTAGAGAATACGACAGGGAAAAAAGTTCAGTGATGTATATGTTCCCGTGGATGTTCTTTGCTAATGTATGTGATCAGAAAAGAAAAAGAACAGCAGTAAAAAATAACAAGTGCGTCCCAGTAAAGAAGAAAATACACTTACAATAATAACCCGTTTCAAAAGAAAAGACCATATTGCAATACTGCACGATTTATATCCAGGATTTCGCTGCATCTCAACATGGTTTATACAGCAGAAAATACAATGTTTATATAGGGCTTTAGCATGGCAACAAAGTAAAGCGAAATACACTAAAACAGACAAAACATAAAAGAGGAAGGAGTGAAAGGACCATGTCACATTCTCTGAGCAGTCAATCCTGCTTTAGGGTAGTGAAAAACATGGGGTTTGCTTGGGTGAAAGATTTATCAATCGACCAGAAACATACAGATGGTATTTTGAGCATAGGAAAAAGTCTGTATCCGTTTCATGAATCACAAAACATTTCAATGAGTCAATTTCCATTGAAGGGATGTTACCATAGAATTTGTTCGAAAAGGTTTTCGGCATAAACGATGAAACTACTTATGAGTAAGAACACCGAAGTTTTAAAAATAACAATAAAAGTATTCACTGACAGAAAATTTGTATTTTGTGCAAAATGTCGATGACGTTGTACTGAAAACAGCACAAACCCTTATCACAGGAAAAATATAGCTCCTACCACCGAAAAATTACTGATTCAATGAACTGGTTATTTATTGCATAGAATTACTCCGAATAGCTTTTGTAGAAGTGTGGTGAACGACAATATATGGAGAAGACAATGGACCGGAAAAAAAATTACAGGTCACTAAAACGAGACACAGGCGCAGCGAATGGAAATAACACCCAAGATAACTCGAAAGGAACAAGACGATAATGATTTTCCGGGATTTCCAGCCAACCATAAGGAAAATGCCGGGATAATCCAACTACAGCCATCACCTTCGATGATCGAGCGAACCAAACAGTAAGAGGCATGTAATTCGCCAGTGTGAGATAAACAAACAACGTGAATTCTCGTGGTTCAATGAACTGGACACCAGCCGCTCAATGGATTGCGATCTTCAAGCAACACATTGCTGCTTTACTGTCAGGCTGTGTTCACGGTTGTAAGTCACTCAAAAAATTCATCTGCATTGGCATTGATAACCCACGAGGTAATCCTGGACCGATTTCCTCGTTATAAGGAGAGTTATACCGTGATTTATTTAATACATAATCTGAAATCAGATAAGTGCATTTTTAAGCTACACAAACCGAACAATCGATCAACCCACACTTATATCTATATGTCATAATCTCTGTAGCTTTCATTCACTTTTCACTTGAATCGAATCAGCAAATGAGATCTGTAGGATACATTAAACAGAGATCGTTTATCAAACTCCATGTTCATCTGTGGAGTTATACCAATGTGAGGCCGCGAAA